GTGCCTACGACAATCTCCAAAGCGTTGACGCGCTCCAGAATGTTGGAGGGGCCAATGGCTGTTGCTGCAACAGGCCGCTGTTCCAAGGTGTGGACACGTTGTTGTCCAGCGTGTGGATGTCCTCTTGCTGGGCCATGCAGGTGGCCACCAGGTCCACGATTCGCTTGATGACTGTGGAGAACTTCTGCACGGTCTCGAAGGCAACCTCCTCCTTGGCCGACGTGTCCCAGTCGGTGGCCAAGTTCAAAACTTCGGCCTCCTCCTCAAAGAACTCATCCCAGCGTGTTTGTCGTGGCGTGCTGCGTCCTTGCCTGGCGTGCTGTGTCCTTGTTCGCTTGCTGCTGTAAGTCGGCAAGACGGCGTTTCTCCTCGGCTTCTCTGTCTATCTCTTCCCTCGAGCGGTAAGTGCCGCATCTGCTCGTTGCTTAATCTCGAGCATCATGTCGCCAGCCGAGCCTCGTAGTCCTCGTCGGACTCAGTGTCCCTGCGTTCCATCGTGTTGGTCACTGATCGAAGGACTGGAGGCATTAAGGCTGCTTACGTGGCTGCTGATGTGGCACAGACGTCTGCTGACGCGTTGCGGACGTGGCTGCTCATGTCGCCAGCCGCACCAATGCCCGCAGCAGATATGAAGAGAAGGACAGATGGAAGAAGAAGAGGAATGGACAGCAGCAAATCGCCCAGATAAGGAGCCACTAATCAAAATTGAAAAGTTCGAACTTTGCTTTTGGAGAAAAAAAATTGAAGAAGAAAAACAAAAATTAATAAAGAATTGGCAACTCGCCAATGCCTGCAGCAGATATGAAGAGAAGAACAGATGGAAGAAGAAGAGGAATGGACAGCAGCAAATCGCGCAGATAAGGAGCTACTAATCAAAATTGAAAAGTTTGAACTTTGCTTTTGGAGAAATTTGAAGAAGAAAATCAAAAATTAATTAAGAATTTTGAAATCGCAAGTTCGGTAGGTCTCCCAAGCCCTCCACCTTCCTCCCTCTTCCCACCGCTCGACCTCCTCCCTCCCTCCACCCTCCCTCTGCCCTCCCTCCGCCCTCCCTCCACCCTCCCTCCCTCTGCCCGGCTTCTATCCCCTCTGCCTGGCTTCTATCCCCCCGCAGTCTTTCCCTCCGTTGACCTCTGCAATCCCCTGCCTCGCTTCACCTGATATCCTTCCTCTCCTTCACGTTCACTCAACCTCCTCCCTTTGCCTGACCTCCTCTCTTTCTCCTTCCGCTCGACCTACACTCGACCTCTTCCCTCCCTACTTCCTCCCTCCTCTCTCCCTTCTTTCTTCCTGCGCTCGACGTTTGCTATCACCTGACCTCCACCCGGCCAGCACCAGACATCCACCCTCCCTCCCTTTGCCTGACCTCCTTCTCCCGTTCTCCTTGCGCTTGACCTACACTTGACCTCTTCCCTCCCTTCTTTCTCCCTCCTCCCTCCTCCCTCCTCCCTCCCTTCTTTCTTCCTGCGCCCGATGTTTGCTCGACCTTCGCTTAACCTCCACCCAACCTCCACCCAGGCTGCACCCGACCTCCTCCATCCCTCACTCCCCCTGCCCTCCACCCACCTTCCCTCCAGCCTCCTCATGGCCTCCACTCTCTCACCACTCAACCTCCGCCTGACCTTCCCCGCTCCGTCCTCCCTATGCCCGCTCTCGATCCGATCTCCTCTCGATCTCTGCTCGACGTGCTCCCTACCTCCTTCATCCCTCCACCCGACCTCCTCCCTCCACCCGACCTCCTCCTTCCTCGTAACGCCATCCGCCCAACTTCCACTCTCCCTCCTTCCTCCCGCTGCCCGACCTCTGCCGCTGCAAGAAGGGAGACTTAGGTTAGTGGCATTGCTCCCTTCCCCCCACCCCCGACTTCTCCCCAGTCCTCCTCTGCCATTCGCTTACCCCCCTCCCTCAGCTGCTCCTCTGCCACCCTATTCTGCTTCCCCCCTGCCCCCAGTCACCCCAACTCCCTTCCCCCTCCACTCCTCTTCGGCCACCCTGCTGCGCCACCTCGACTCTCTGCTCCACCCCTTCCGCCTCATTCCCATTCTTATGTGTGTTTGTATGTGTGTGTGTGTGTGTGTGTGTGTGAGAGAGAGAGAGAGAGAGAGAGAGAGAGAGAGAGAGAGAGAGAGAGAGAGAGAGA